CACCCCAGAATTCCAGGGGGATCCATTGGCACTAGCTGACTTTGAAGGTGGGTTCCCCGTAAATGGGGAAAAGAACAGGGTACTGGGTGTCTGATGAGGCTTCTTTGGAGGTTACCCTTGCATTTCCTTGAGGAGCTCGTGTGATTTCAAAAGCGTATGGATTGGCCCCTCAAAGACTGTTGCCTACCCTTCGTTGCGCAGAATCCACCGCGTTCCCTAGGCTTCCAGGTTGGTTTGCAGCCAAAGGACAGACACTCAGCCAGAGCGGGACATGATGGGAGTTTGTCCATACTTCCTTTTCTTGGTGTTTTAAGTTGTTGGTGGTCAATAAGTGTGTGAGAGTGACTCCCTTTAGTCTAGGCTTCTGGTGCTCGGCGAGTTGAGAGCTCAAGATTGGACATTCTGGTAACTCACTTTAGATTGAACCAAAAGTCGTAAACAACAAAAACACATGGGGCTTTTCAAACAGGGTCGCTTCAACGCATGACCCAGCAGAATGTCTCTGTCAAAGGGGCAGCCTTTCAAACGGGGGCGGCTGCCAATGCTTACTCGCAGGACACATTCCAGCTAGCCAGAATTTCACTGGGTGATATGTAAACCCACTCAAAGGAAAAAATCCCGAGGAATACCTTTGAGGCATTGGTCGGTGACATCGGCCGGGCGACATCACTCAGGAGCCTTGGCTCGCTCCGCATCTCGCATCTTCCATCTAGCACGCAGCTGCCTGTCAGGTGGGTTGCGGGAATTTGCCTTTCCATTGTGTTCACCACCAACATGGTCTTCCTGAAAAGCATAAGTCCAGAAACTCAGGGAGTGAGGGGCCCTACCAGCCTACACCCCCGGACCCGGAGCCCCAGTCTGAGGGCTTCCCCTAGGACCGAATAAGGGCAAACAAGGCCTTGACGGTTGGGCCATTGGGGCTGGGTCCCGGATCCCTAAACTTCCGCGATATCAACTCCAAGGAGAAGGCCTTTCAAATGCCCCGAACTTTGCACGGTTTATGGGAACCGTTCCCTGTCACAGAGTTCGCCATGTTCCCTGTCCAGTTGAAACTCAGCTCTTGTAGTGCAAAGGCATTCAAAACCAAAGGGGACATCTACCCTGTTGCAGGCATCATCAAGGTCCAGCCTGAGCAACCCAGATTGGGCTATGGTCATGGTGATGCTTCCCCAATTTGAAACCTTTCTGCTTTTGGTTGCTGTTTTGTTTCTTTTAATTCGGGGGGGCGGGGGCTCGACCTTGCGGTTGCTCTTTTTTGTTGTCTAAACCCCTAAGATGAGAGCTACCAACTCCAAGTAAGGCGTGTGCTTTCGCCAACAATGTTATTCTCAAAATTCGGGGGCTCAAAAAAGAGATGTTCTTGTCTTGGCTTCCTTTTAAAAACCAACCGAAAAGTGGGGTTCAAACAAAAAACACATGGCTGTGGGTCAAAAATAGGTACCCAAAATGGAACCCTGGTAAATGGAAACAGGGACTACAACCTGCGGTCCCCTGGTGGCTTAATTTTGACCCATACCTACATCCAAAGCTCCCTGCCTGTAGTCTTCCGCGTCCCTCTCTTCCACGCGCTCCTCCATCGCCTGCGCGCGCCGTCTGTGCAGACCGCGCAAAACGCGAAGACATTTGGGCTTAGGGACCCTCAACCTTTAGTGTGCTAGCAGATGTTGATCTTTGGCTGCTTGTTTGTTTGTTTGTTTGTTTGTTTGTTTGTTTGCTTGTTTGTTTGGCTGCTTGCTTGCTTGTTTGTTTGTTTGTTTGTTTGTTTGTTTGTTTTGTTGCTTGTTTGTTTGTTTGTTTGTTTGTTTGTTTGTTTGTTTGTTTGTGAGTTCCGTGCATCCAGTTAAACACACATTCCAAGAGGATTGAACTTCACACCTTTTCCCAGACCCAGTGAATTTCCATGGGGACCAAACAAAAAAGAACACGTCGGCCCTTGGGTTGATGTGGGCCAACGGGAGGTCCGCGAGAGGCGCCGCGCGCCCCGTCGGCCTCCACGGCGATGCGGCGCTGCCTCTGGCGCTCCTTCTCCAGCCGGGAGGCCTCGCGCGCGGTTCCGAGCCAAAAGACGCGGCAGAAGTGGCCGAGCCCCAGCCCACGCTTGGAGCCAAGCTGACTTGGAGGTGGAAAAAGCAGTCCTTGGAACCCTGTTTGCATTATCTAACTGATTCTCAAGAAAAAACCAACAGTTTTGGGAATGAACCTCTGAAAGGAAACTACAAGTGATGCTTCATAGTCCTTCACGAAAAGTTTCTGCAGGGAACCAGCAAGTTCGTGGGGAGGGGGTCCCAGTTCCTATTTGTCTAGCCTTGCCCATCGGACCCGGAACCATCGATGGAACTTCAGGGTCACCCTCTCCCCCAATTCCGTTTCTAGGGATGCATTGGCCGTTTCGACTAGGGAATGAGGTGAGCCACTGTGATAGCAGGGAACGGTTCCCTTGAAGTGAAGAATTCGTTTAGATTACCTTTGAGTGGTCCCACGGAAGTGTACAGACCCACCAAAAGCCGAAAAGCCTTCCTCCGCAACCCAAAGGTCTTGAAAACTCCCTCGTTGGCCTACTGTTGGCTTGAGGCGACTAAGACCTTATCCTTGGAGATTGGTCGTTGGAGGGGGGTTGGCGGTGGCCCTGGAAAAGGTTACCTTGGCGGCTGGATGTACTCGATTGTGCCTATGCTGGGTTCCTCAAAATATTGCGAGAGCTGGATTCGGCTCCGCAAAGTGTAGTGCTGAAGCCCCTGTAGCAGATTGTCGGGTGTCTGCTTCAAAGACATGTAAGACCTGTCTTGGAATCCTTGCTTTGAACAAGTCATCTTGACGGACCGCGAGCAGCTGTTTCAAAGCTAGATGCTGTGGAGAATAGCATACTGAAGCCACTGCCAAAAAATCACACACACACACACACACGCACATTGGTGGTTCCCTTCTTTGGCTATGTCCAGTGGAGTTCAGTGCTTATCATGATCACTGAAGTGATGCTTGACTTACAAGGGAATATAAGTCGCGGATCTAGTTTGTACACGGTGTCCCTCTTTGCCCTCGTCTTGGAATCAGGCAATTTGCAGAGCTCGATTCAGCAATTGTGATCAAAGTCGAAGGGCTTTGAGCACCTTTTGGCTGGCAAGCCCCCAAAGGTCTCTCCCGAAGCGAAGATGACATGCTTGCAGTCTGGCAATATTTGCATTGAACCTTGCGTAAAATGACGTCGGGTGCACAAACCAGCTCCAGTCGCCCGACAAAAGCAGCTGCACTGTCCAAGTACCCTCTGATGTACTTGACCCGGACTTATCCACCTGTTCCAGCCATTAGGGAGGGGGGGAGAGGGTTGGCCCCAAAAGTCAAACAACAATCCGCATGCCCCCTCAATCGCCCCGAGTATGGGTTGCTCCAAACCTTCACATCTGAAAGCTGAACAAAGGAAACCGTACCCTCCGGTCTAACATGGAATTCACAAGGGAAATGAGCCCCTTTTAAAGAACATCATCTTCTCAGATGCCCAGTAGCCATGGAAAAAAGAGGGCGTCCTTTCTTGGTTGGTTGACTCCCCCAAAAAAAGGAAAAAGGCGCCACTGGGCAACTGAGTCTTCCAGGACCCTCTGAGTCGAATCCTGAAAGTGTTTGCACGCCACCATGTCCCGCAAGACCCTAGAACCACCGACTGATCCTTTCGGATGCCTCCTTGTTCCTTCGCTCCAGCTCCTCTTTCATGGCGACCTGAGGAGCTGAGGGGAGCTGCATTTTCGTGGATTTCCGGTGGATATTTCATGGGGCGGACTTTTAAAATGAGCCCTTTTTGGTATCCCCTTTAGATGGCAACAACCACCCGTGTGGGTTTTGACCCTTCTTGTCTTCGGGGAGGGGGAGCCGTTTTGAAACCGAAAACAATAGGTTCCAACCCCATGTGCTTTTTGTCTGAGCGGGCTTCAGTGGTAAACCCAACAAAAAAGGACAAAGAGTCGGTAAAACGCAAGTCCAATCAAACCCCGCCAAAGCTGTTGAACTATGGACAAGAATCCAAAAGGGAGACAATTGCCGACTTGCTTCTCGGAATTATTGAATTTAGATTCAGAAAAAGGAGGGCCGTGGAGGGCCGTTCTGTTGCAGGAAGTTCCTGCGACCAGTAGTAACTCCTAAAGAACCGCCGTACTACGGGGTGACATGCCCGATATTGTAAGGAAAGTGTCTAAGGTAGTTCTTGTGATGAGTAGGGCCGCCGGATTAAGCATATATTCCTTTGTGTCTGCCCGACTGAGAACAAGCGAGCTGAAAGGACACAAAAACAACACCAACCATTCCCAGTGCTTCCAGCTACCACAGGTGATGGAGAACAAGAAGCAACCCACTGGATGTCTGAGGTTTGAGGAAAGCCAGAGCAAACTCCATTGCTTTATGACATAAACAAGGGGTTCATCTTCGCGTTTCCTGATTCCTTGCTACATGGGACACCCCTCCCCAAGAAAATCAGGCAACGTTCTATGAATCCTGGGCTTCCATAGTGGGTTTAAGATCAGACTTGTCGGACGCTCAGCTACTTGGAAAATCGTGATAGGCAAAACATAGATATCCAGCCCGTATCAACAAGTCGCTTTAAACAATTGATGTGGCTCTCACTTGCCCTTGTTGGACCTACAGGTGATCACCTGTGGGACCTTTACTAGTGGACTGGGGGTACCTGGTGATCGCACACATCCCTAGCTCAAGGGCTCTTGGGAATGAGAAAGGAAAGTGGACATAAACAAAAGGAAAAACCAAAGCGTCAGCTCCAGTCGGTTTTGACCAACTCCGGGATCCGACTCCTTCAACAACAAAAAACGGAGCCCGCCCGGCAGCCGCCCAACTGGCGCCGGGCGCCGGGCGCGGCGGGTGCGTTCGGCTTCTAGCTTCTCGTGGTGCTCCCGCTTCATCCTGACGACGCCGTCCCAAAAATTTTGCAGTAGCCTACCGTTAGCAAGTGGTTAGCCACTTGGCTCTAACCCGATAACAAGGTGAACCCCACGAAGGGTGACTTAGAAGAGGGTTATAACCTAGGCTACTAGCTTGGCCGAACACCCGAGTAATTATAGGCAACCAGCTATGTTTGCTTCTATAGGTTTTACATATGATTTATAGTGCCTGAGCAGCACAGGGCCAGCAAGTAAACACAGCCAGCTCCACTCTACTCACATCCCTGCGGAGTAGATTCTAAGCCATATGTTCCTTAGTTTGGTGGGTATTTGGCAACAAATGTCCTGTAGAAGCCGGTCTCTATGACTATACATATATATACACGAGATACGCGTCAAATGGCTTTCCACAGCCGAGACTCGAGTGGCAGTTTACGTGCTGATCAAACGTTGATTTCGAGAAGAGGGCCATTCTTCAACTTTTGCCAACTAAAACTGACACCTTTAGACTCTGGTATGCTCCACGAACATAAAACGTGCAGTCATTTGTCTGGGGGAGTGGTTCCCTCTATTCTTTTCAAGCAACGCTCCTTTCCAAAGAAGGTCCCTTTCCCTGGGTATTGTTGGCAGAAAGGAGGATCCCCATTCAATGACTGGAGTCTTACCCACAGCAGTTGAGAGTTCCAAGCCATTCTGCGGCTCTGGATGCTAAGCCCGCCCGCGTGCTGAGTGCCGCGCCTTTCGGCCTCCTCCTTCAGCCAGAAGACCTCACGGTCTTTTCACTGAACTGGCCAGTTTCCCCTTTGCTTCTTCAAGGGTTGCCTCAAAATAGGAATCGCCTGAAAAAGACCAGGGTGCCCCTTTTTGACACATACTCAAATGAAGCCCAGTCCAACTAGGTTGGAACATGAGGGACCCTTGTGATGAACCCTGCCGGACGAATGCCATGCCCTCAGAGCGGGGCATGCTGCAGGAAGCGCTGTCGGGATTCTTGCTTCCGCTTGTGGATGTTCTCATTCCGCTTGATATCTAACCTCAGAATGCAGATCGATGCCTCGTAAGGCAGGGGACCTGCGTACATGATTGGCCTCCCTTTTGGTTTGCATTGGTTTGCCTTTGAACAACATTTGGCTAGGCACTGGAGATGGATGGATACTTCCAGCCACATGTGCAATTGTTGCCCACGCAAGCCGTGAATGGGAGGAAAAGGTAAAACTGTGGGTGCTCACTTGTCCACAGGACTCGATGTTGAGATGATCACCAGCGTTGGCCATGCGAGGATACTATACATAGTAAGTCTGGATGCTGCTTTATGAAGGACACATCCCCTTTTAGTTTTTCTGTGGAAAAGTAACCATCATTGGTAATAATTGTCATGACCAAAGGGTTGCGGTCTAGGCAAAAGCGCTACTCACCATCTTGGTAAAATCAAAATTGTCCCAGCAATACCGTCCGCTATGGCAACCGACTAGCAGTGTGATGTGCAAGTTCACAGGCTTGACCGTCCTATCGAGTTGGATCAGCGACGCTTGCAGGTCCTCCAATACAACATGCAGCGGGGTCCAGAAAAATATTTTTGGGAGTAATGCGCGTGTCGAGTCCTGAGATTGCACATGCCGGCGCGCAATCCGTTCCTGCCTGTGAAAGCGGACACTGGTGGCCGAAAAACGCATGGCTCATGTCTACCCCAGACTTGGCAGGCGCCAACGGTCAAACTTATGGATGGTTTGGTGGCGTACCTCCATAGGGACACTGACGGCCACCCAGCAGCAGATGATTCCAAACTTCAAGGGGCGCCTTGATTCATCCCGGAGGTGTTATTTGTTTCATTGACATGGACATTTACACTGAGCGCCGGACATGTCCATCTGCTCGCGCAATCGTTGCCTCTCTTTGAGGTCCTCGCCGCAACATGATACGGGACTCTCACGACCCAGGCGCGGAGCGAATGCTGTAAAACCATGCAATTGCTATGCGCTGGCTGCAGCGCGGGCTCTGTTGAAAGCTGCCTGATGGCTGATTTGGCAGGCGTTGCAAACTGTGGGTGGGGCCAACTGCAACAAAGCAACGAACGTCGTTTGACTGACCGAATCCCGCGGTCCATGCGGCCCGTGGGGATCTTGCGCACTGTCTCATAGATGGGCAGCTCTGGCACCTGCAGGGCAGGTCAGCCCAACTTGCGACGAGGCGGCTAACGCAAACCGAGCGAGCGCGCGCTAGACTTCCTGCACGCGCCTGGATACATGCATACGGCGGAGGCTGCGTCAAGACTTCCAAATCTGCTGCGAGGCAACGCGGGGCAGGCTCGGCTTCTGGGATTGTTGGGCCAGGCCAGGAAGGCATGGTCTTCGCGCAAGACGCGCTCTCCAAAGCCCCAAGGAGCGCCAGTTGGAGTCAGGGCAGAAACTTGGCCCAAGTAGGACGCGCGTCAAGCTCTTGCGCGCAATGCTCCTGTGGCGCGCCACTGTTTGTAGGTGAGACCTCGACTCCCGTTTGCTGCAAACAGGGCGAAGCATGGAAAGATTAATGTCGCTCACATTTTCCTGCCTTCTTCCTTATGTCCCGTTCTCCATCGGATTGCAGCAACAAGGTGGCGTGGGCGATGCATCACCAGCATTATATAAAAAAGCCCCTAAGGCTGCATCACCAGCATCATCAGCATCATGATGCCTCATCATCGTTCGTCAATCTCTCTCTCTCTCTCTACCTCTGTGATTGGATCCTGTGCCCAAAGTCGGAAACACCCTTGTCGCATGCTCAACAAGGAAGGCCTTTCCCACTTTGCTCAATTGACTGAACGCTGGCACTGTGGGGTTTGCTATTGTCAAACTCGCGAGTCCTCCCTCAACAACACCTCTGGGTTGAATACATGGGCGCAGAGTCATAACTAGAATCCAGTATGAAAGGAGTGCACCCATAAGCCCACCAAAAAATCAGTACAGGATACAAGAGTGGTTGGGAAGGCCATTTTTAGCCTCCAATTGCCTCGGCGCTAATTTCAGCTCATCTGTGGAAATTCACCCTTTTGTTGACGCTGAAATGGACTTTCCCTAAAATCAATGGAGCTTCAACTGATATCTTAGGGATGCGGATTCCCGAAGCAAAAGGAAGTTTCTGGAAGTCCTGTACTTCTCGGTTGACTTCAAAGAGAATTCGCCCCACAAGTGGTTACAAAAGTCGTGCACCTTAGACAAGATGCTGGGTTTGCTCCTTTCCATTGATCCTGCAAACAGTTTCGGTCGGTATCAAACGGCCGGCGATCTAGATACTCAGAGGTACTCCCCTGCAAATGAGAGCGCAGAATTGCAACCCAGAGCCAAAGGTGGCACGTACCCCAAACCCCTTGTTTATGAGCCCCTGGTTTCTCGACACCTTGGTCGCGGAAGCACATGAGTTCATGCAATCAGTTGAGTTAAGCAACCACGTCTGATGGTAGGCTCAGAGTTGTTCCACTCTCTCCCATGCTACGTCTAAAAAGACGCCAAGAAAGCTGTTTTGTTGAGGGGTGCAACCGACAATCTTACTTGTTAGTGGCTTCACTGGTTGGCACTACTATAGTGATCCAGAATCCGGTCCCCCATGTCTTCAAATCAGCCATGCACATTTGCTTTGTTTCTAGGAATTGACAAAAAGGTCTACCGGCCCACAACCCATGAACAAAAAAAACACTGCAAAGTCTACCAGCAACCAGTCCAAAGGGGGGAAACTGGTTTCACCATGCCAGGCCCTGGTCTGAGTAGGGACTTTGGCACCCAACCGAATACTTAGGAAACGAATAGCCCTCATGGAACCCACGTGAAGTCGAACCCTCAAACAGGTTCACTTTTGGGACAAATCATCATCTTCCAACAAAAGTTAAGGCAAATCCCAAGCAAATGGCTGGTGCTTGGAGACCTCCAATTCGCTTGCTTGCTCATTTTCATACACCATAGCTAAGTTTGACTCAGACATGTCCAAACCAATAACGCCTGGAAGGGTTTGGGTAACCTTGCTATGCTTAAACCACTCAATAAAACCACCACCGGCCATGCTATGCTTTCCTTCAGGCCAGGGTTTTGCAACCACCCCCCAATCCTGAGAGTCGTCCAGAAAGGTACAGTCGCTCTGACACAACTCACGCCTGCCTCCAAATAGGAATCGGTACCCCTCTCCCTCCCAAATGGGCTGCTTTGTTTTGGTTCCCTGTGAAGAACCACCCACCCAAAAGGTGTACCCTCACAAAGATGCACAACACCTGCAAATGTAGGGCATGGTTGGCGTGTCGACTTTGGATGAATACTCCGCTCAAAGAAAACCTGAACAACACAACCCAACATGGCTTTGTGTTCTTGTTGAGGGTACCCTTCTTTGGTTTGGTCTAAAGGGAATCGAAAAGGAGAGCTACTATTTTGAGGGTTCAAATCCCTTGGACGCGTACGCACATCACGCTCAAAGGCATATCCTGTGGGAAGCTTGGCAGTGAAAATTCGCGGGAATCGTCTGAATTCGACAGAGACGCTGCCCATTTTCAGCCGGGCTTCTAGTATTGATAAAGAAACTTGAGTCACAAACAAACATTTGGCAATCACATTGCCTACCCAAAACCGTGTAAAAGATCAGGGCAAATATCCACCCCGATTTTCTGGCTGGGACGGGCTTGTCAAGTTTACCTGAGTTTTGAATTGTTTGCCACCCGAAAAAAAAAAAAAAAAAAAAAAAAAAAAAAAAAGCGCCAGAATTGGAACCCTGCAATCGCATGGCTGTCAAGGGGCCAATGATGGAATACGTTCAGAGAGGCCCCAACAGAGCTTAGTCGACCTTCGTTTGGCCCTATTCGGGCGGGCCTCAAAGGAAACTATGGAAAATAATGGGAAAGAGCTGCTAAAATTGAGTTCTTGGCCGAACCAGTCTTGCTGGAAAAGTTCTACCCCTGTTTCAGCCTTGCCTTATGAGTGAGTCTATTCAGAGAGTAGGTACCGCATGAAACTAATTCATTACAAAAAAACAAAAAACAGACTCAAGAAAACACCCAGTCCCAAAACCTACATTCAGAAAAATAAATATATTCGGACTCAAAAACACTCAGCTCAAAAAACCAGACCCAAAAAAACACAATTTCAGACTCAGCAAAAAAACACAAGTAAATTAACCAAATCGAAAGGCGAGTCCCCTTGCCCCCAGCCTCCCGCGTCCGAGTCTGAAATTGAGTCCGAAATTGTTTTGTTTGTTGACTTTGTTTTTTTGTCATTTGTTTTTGTTGCTTTGCTTTGTTTTGTGCTTCCCGCCCCCCCCCCCCCCCTCCCTCCCGGTTTTTAGCCGAGCTTTGGTGGAATTGATCACTGGGAATGTCCGCGACACTTCAAGTGGTGACGCAACTCAGCAAATTCGCGCAACCCATATCTTGGGGGTGGTTAAACTTAAGCCGATCGCACCGGAACGGCTGGCTGCGTTTGTGGCAACCAAGGGACAGGTGGATTCTCGTTGGACTGAGTCCGGGCAAACCATTATTAGTTATTCCCCTGCACAAACAATCAAGAATTCACGAGTTGGTTCTGAACATGACGCTTCATTCAGCTACTGCTTGCAAACGCCGAGGCTTTCAAGTAGCGTCTATTTTGGCTCCAGCTGCCATTCAACGAAAAGCAGGTTAAGAGTATGAACGTTTGGGTGGTACTCGAGCCATCATGCAACGAAAACAACACACAAAGCATAAAGTTTGACTCAGGCTGTAAACAAGCTGGCTAAGGCTTTGTCACGTATGGGGTCCATGAGCTGAAGCGAGCCGACCGTGCACAAAAACTGGGAGCTCTCTTCCCCTTCCTCCTGCCCCGGAACTTCCATATCGCCGGTTCCAGGTTCCAAACACAAGCATGATATGGCTGTCTCGTTCTTTTTTAGGACCCCCGCTCCCCAAAAAAGATGTGGTTTTCATGTTGAAACCACCAAACATAGGGTACCAACTCCAAAAAAGACACACCTACCTCCAAGCCTCCAGGAAACTGGGCTTCCATGGCAAAATGCTTGGCACTCCTTTTTTGTTGGTTGACCCAGTGCTTCCCTGCCGCTATACTAGTAGCAAGGGGAAACCATAGAGGTTAAACCTAGAGGAGCGAATTCCGGGTTGCCCACTATATCTTGCCCTCCACGACAAAACGCTGCTGTTTTCAACTTAGGAACTCCTTCCCGGTCCAGATCAATCTTAACGACAAGTCGTGATGCAACTCCCCTTCAAAATCAACATGGAACCTGCAGTTTGCTCTTGGGTCCTTTCCTCAACGGCAACTCCATCAAACATGGATGGGTTTGTTGTGGTCCGAGGAAGAGGACCGCAACACCGGGACGAGTGGGGTCAAACATCGGCAGGGTGGCGAAAGGTGGGATTCGGCCATCAACATGAGTGAGCGACAATACTGCCGCACTCAAACGGAATACTCCCTCCCCTGGTAAAAACGATAGGCACCTACCTAAAAAACTGATACCCCCGTTGCTCATACCATGGGTGTGGCTCAGAATAGATCAAACAATGATTGCACAATGGTCAGTCTCCCTTGTGTTCCCTTGCACAAGCCATCCAAACGGGGTTCCTGGTTGGAAGCAGTCACCTGTAATTGATTCCTTGACCGGACATTGAGGGCCCTGTGAAAGGAATCGCAGCCTTTTGCGAGGTCAATCAACAAGGCCGTCCCAAGTAGCAGGCCATGGAGCTTGGGCAAGTTTTACCAAGCTCAGTGGCGATGGATGCTAGCCGACTACGGAAACTGCGCATGCCGCTTCGGAGTGACAGATAACCCACTGAATTTTGCGCGGGGGGAAAAACAAGAAATGCAAGCTACGCTTTTGGGATCCCGGCAAACGAGTCCAAAACTGAGAAACCAGACGGTTTCCCAAAAGGGGGCCAACCCTTGAGACCGACCATGTCCAAAAAGGACATCCCTTCAAATCGTGATATGAGCAACATGTCACCAATAATGTAGCCGCGGCCCACGTCTGGGGTACACAGAAACTCATATATCTTTGGATGTGTTGGTCATATTCAGTCTACCCTAAAACGCAAAATCCTTCGGTAGACGTGGCGTAGTGGGATCTATCCAAGCCCGCCTCCTGTGTTGGCTCCGGATTCAGCTTTAGCTGTCGGTCCTTCCCCACCTCAGTGGCACAAAACTGGCCCGAGACTCGGCCAAGTCGTTAGCAACCCTCAGGGCTGTGATTGAAATGGAATCCACTGCGATGCAACAGAAAGGGCCTAAGCCCAAAAATGAACCCCCGCTAAAACCCGCTCCGGTGTTGCCTTGGGAATCGCGTATATTCAATCGGGTCAGTTCCAGTTAAAGGGGGAGATTCCCAGAAGTTTCACAGAAGTAGTTGGATAACCCCCCGAATCCCACAACCCTGACCCTAGTTGCGCCCGTTGGTTGTAGGGCTGCTGAATGGTTAGCCAGTCCCGGAATAACAAAGTAGCATTCTACCGCCCCTTCTCCAAACATCCCCACTAAAGTTAATGTAGTGTATGTAATGTATGTAATGTATGTAGTGTATATAATGTATGTAATGTGTGTATGTAATGGGTCTTATTTATGGAAAGAGGCGGGGGGGGGGGGGGGGCGGGGAAGGAGGCGGGGAAGGAGGCGGGGGGTTGACTCCTACAAGGCAAGCTGTTGGCGGGAAGGCGTAGAACTATCTTGGCGCTTGCCCACGCTGATATTTGGGGCTGTGTCAAATTTGCTGACCGTCGAAAGTGCTGGTTTTCCTTTGGTTCTTCTTTGAAGCACCCCACCCCACCCAAAAAAAAACAGAACAGGACACCCTGAGCGTGCGCTTTTCTATGTTCTTGCTTGTAAAAAAACGATATGTTTGACATTTTTCCTAAGAACACAAAGCACCCGCCGAAAAGAAAAAAAACACAAAACCAAAAAAAAACAAAAAAAAACAAAACACTTCGCTTCGAGCAATCCCCACCCTCCGCACTCACGAGCTTACGACCGTTACAACAAATTCCTCCGCACCCTAGAGACTTTGACTCCAAATTCCCATCGGCCCCTTCCCTTCCCATCGGCCACTTCCACTTGTCTGCGAGCCGATCTCGAGAACTCAAACATCGGTTCCGTTAACAAAAGCCAAGCCCCTTTCGAAAGAAACCCGGCGGGGGATTGAGCGAAGTTGCCTATTCACAACGCAAAGCACCCTTTCCGAGCCTCAGGGTGCGCTCAAAACACGAAGGCACCAACATGAAATGTAAACCCAACTGTGCACCGGGCGGGACATTAAGCAAACCCAGACTGGACTGGCGAGCTGCTCTGGCGGGATACTGGCGGGATCCACTGGCGAATCCTGGCGAGCCGCTCCGGCTCGGATACTCGGCAGGATCCACCGGCAAGGGATACTCAGCGGGATACTCGGCGGGATCCACTGGCGAGCTACTCTGGGATACTCAGCGGGATACTCGGCGGGATCCACTCGCGGGCTGCTCTAGTGGGACACTTGGCGGGATCCACTACCGAGCTACTCTGGCTGGATACTGGGCGGGATCCACTGGCGATACTCAGCGGGATACTCGGCGGGATCCCATGGCGGGCTGTTGTGGTGGGATACTCGGCGGGATCGACTGGCTGGCGGGATACTCGGCGGGATTCTCTGGGATACTCAGCGGGATACTCGGCGGGATCCACTCGCGGGACACTTGGCGGGATCCACCACCGAGCTACTCTGGCGGAATACTGGGCGGGATCCACTGGCGATACTCAGCGGGATATTCGGCGGGATCCCATGGCGGGCTGTTGTGGTGGGATACTTGGCGGGATCCAGTGGCTGGCGGGATACTTGGCGGATACTCGGCGGGATCCACTGGCGGGCTGCTCTGGTGGGATACTCGGCGGAATCCATTGGCGAGTGCTCTGGCGGGGTACTGGGCGGGATGTGCTGGCCAGCTGCTCTGGCGGGCTACTCGGCGGGATCCACTGGCGGGGATCCACTGGCCAGCTGCTCTTGCGAGATATTCGGCGGGATCCACTGGCGAACAGCGCCGGCGGGATACTCGGCGGGATCCACTGGCGAGCACCTTTGGCGGGATACTCGGCGGGATCCACTGGCGAGCAGCGCTGGCGGGATACTCGGCGGGATCCACTGCCGAGCTGCTCTGGCGGGATACTCGGCGGGATCCACTGGCGAGCTGCTCTGGCGGGATACTGGGTGGGGGCGTGGTGTAGAAGCATCGCAAACGCAGATTCCAACACAAAATCTAACAACCCCTTCCTGTCGGGTGGGGAACAAGACTATGCGACATGTCCTGGCTTGGGGGGGGTGTCTTGCTTAGTTTCTCGAGGCTTTTCACACTTTTCCTAAAAACGCATAAAACCTCGATAAAACAAAAAAGAAACATACGGGACAAAAAAAGACAATGTCAAATGTCCTGGCTTGGGGGGGGGGTGTAGTCTTAAGTTGTTTGCTGTTTGTTTTTATTGGCTTTCCCGAGGTTCTTTGCATCTCTTTAGAAAAGTGCGAAAAACCTTGAGAAAACCAACAAAAACCAGACTCTGTCAGCTGTCCTGACTTGAGGGGACATAATATGTTTTGCTTGGTTGTCTCGAGTTGTTTTTTTTGCACTTTGCCGTTTCCGGCCTGTTTGCAAGAGCTTCTGTGATCAAGTGCGCTGGTGTAGTTCACATCCAAGCCCTAGTACAGTTCGCCAGAGATGGTTTCCTCTGGTGGGACTCGTTCCTTATGACAGTCTTCTTAACTTTAATTAGAACTATACAAGTAGAACTTGATAAATATATCAAGTAGAGTTCATAAGAAAGAAGATAGAGATCCCAAAATTGCTAAGCTGATCAAATGCCTGCTGATCTGCAAAGACAATTCTATTGGACAGGAAATCCTGTGTAGACTCCATGTTGAAAAAACAACATGATTTAAGTTCTACTTGGAACCAGAACTTATGTTTGGATTAGTTCATTATTAAATTATATTCAATGTGAGATAGTAATTAAGTAGAACTTCATGAATACATTGAGTAGAATTTGGTAGGAAAGAACTTAAATAGGGTTTCCGAACATGTTTCATACCTGTTGTTTAGATGCTTTCTGATTTGTAAGGACAATTCTATTGAAAAAGGAATTTCCGTGTAACATTTATGTTGAAACATAATTTTCATAATCTAAAATCTAAGTTGAATTATACAATTTGAGTGGAGTCTTTCCTTGGTACTTTCTAGTTAATTTCAGTTAGACATTGGGAATAATTTGGTAAAGGGTGGAGCCCCCAAAGGTTGAGGTTTCAACGGTCAAGCCCTGCAGGGTAACCAGTCAAGGGAAGCCCTCGAAAGTGCACCGGCAAGTGGTGGCGCCGCGGCGTTTTTTCACGCCCTCGGCTCTTCACGGGGCAGCTCTCATACTTGCCACCCCGCTTGTACTTGTACGCATTCTTCTTAACACTCTTCAAAGCGCAATTCCGGCATCGGATGTCGCCATTCTCAGCGACCGGTAAATGGTGGAGCCCTGAAAAAGGGGACCGGTAAGTCGAAAGACTGGGGCAATCAGGGCGCATCCAGTGCTGGGTTCCAGTCCGGCTCCAGAATGACAAGCCAGTTGGCCATGGCCAAGTTCAGGCCTGCGCCGCCAGCCGATTTGCTCAACAGCAGCACGCGCTGCTTCTCAAACTTCTCGACCGCCAGGGAAGGCTCATCGTTCGTCACCGTCCCATCCAGGCGCACGGACGACAAACGCGGGATCGCGCAAGTTGTCCAGCACCGCCAAGCTCCTGCTCACCAAGACCGCCTGCGAAGGTGAAACCCAGACGAGGAGCCCTGAAAGGTGGACCTACGAACGCTGAAGTGATTCATCATCGCAGTTGTTGAGCCATCTCGATGCTGAACGCAGCCATTGAACACCTGGGATGGAGTCCACACGCCCTGGCTGGCGGCTACCGCATTGTCACGGCCAGCACACCAGACAAAACCGGCAGTCTCCTTCCACCTTCGGAGAGAAATGTTGCACCACCCATGATGGCGCGCGGGGCATTGCTGTTAACACCCCCGCGACAACTTTGGCCCATGGATCTTCTCTGCTTTTATTGAAATAGCATACCGCGCAAGCCCAGTTCACTTCTTATCTCAAAGGAAACAGGACTCTCTCGCTCTGTTGTCATCTCAGCTGACAAGAAGTATAACAAGTGCATGCCCCACGACCGCATTTCCAGCAACACTCTGTCGATCTGCGTTTCACGCCATCAAGCCAAAAAACAACAAACACAAGGAAAACCCTCAAACAACCACCATCATCGTTGGCCCTTTTTGGGGGAGATCAAATGCCGCCTTGTTGGAGCTCCAAATTTCTAGGAAAAGCATCCGCTGTTCCTGGGTCTCAGTGGGGTAAATGGTGGAGCCCTGAAAAAGGGGACCGGTAAATGGTAGAGCCCTGGAAAGGGGACCGGTCACCCGTAAATGGTGGATGGAGTTTTGAAATGTGGACCGTTAAATGGTAGAAGTCTGAAGGGTGACCATGAAATGGGAATGCTCTGAGAAGTGTCGCAGCAAATGTTGGAGACCTAATTGGTGGAGCTATGAACCGAACCGTCCACAACAGCGAACCGAATCGAACCGAACCGAACCGTCTATATAGCTACTAATCGAACCGAACCGCAAGACGAACCGAAAATACGAACCTAACCGAACCTAATCGAACCGTTGCCACCCTGATGTGAGATAGTAATTAAGTAGAACTTCATGAATACATTGAGTAGAATTTGGTAGGAAAGAACGTAAATAGAGGTTTCGAACATGTTTCATACATGTTGTTTAGATGCTTACTGATTTGTAAGGGCAATTCTATTGGAAAAGGAATTTCCGTGTAACATTTATGTTGAAATATAATTTTCATAGTTTAAAATCTAAGTTGAATTATACAATTTGATTGGAGTCTTTCCTTGATAATTTCTAGTTAGTTTCAGTTAGACATTGGGAATAATTTGGTAAAGATACTAAGTAGATTTCAGAAAGACACAATTAAGAGGTCCTAGAATTGTGGTTTTGTGTGTGTTTACTAGCCCAGAACTACCATGGTCAGAAAACACCGTAAAACACAGTGTTTTGTAGCGTTTTTCGTACTCAATTCACATCTCCACCAACGGCAGCTCTCCAAGATTCAGTTTGATTCTGAATAGGAGCTCAATAGGACTCAATAAGGAAATACTTGATCAGAATCCTACTGGCAATTACATCTTACACTTAGAATTTAGATGTAAATCCTTTCCCAATAGAACACTGCAATTGAATTGGAGTTTGAAAGTAAGTTGATAAGAAATGAATCCAATCACAACTTCTCTTTCGCAATAGAAATCGAATTAGAATAAGTCGTTGTTAATTGATAGTTTGAACAGTATGTTCTTTCCAACCGAATTGCTTTACAATTCAGCTGGCATTTAGAACACACATTATGCAAACATAGTTCAACTCGAGTTTCCACTCAAAAAGTGAGAAGAAGAAAAAAGCCCACGCTCACAGCTTCCCGCTCTCAAAACAACTCAAACAAACACGTTGGCGAGCCTGACACAAATGATGACAAGCGAGTTGACAAGGAAGGCAGCCCTAAGAGAAACAGTACTCGTCAGGAAGGGCAGGGAGCGGAAAGCACATAATTCGGCTCAAGAATAACAGAATCTTGGCAAATTACCGTATTGCTCAAACCTGGGAAAGGAAACTGCTCTAGTAAGGAACTTTGATCCTCGGCGAGCCCGTTTTGACTCCCAGGCGAGCAAGTCATTGCTTGTCCAAACAGGGTGTATCAAATCGTCTAGAGCCATGAACCGGCTTTCTCACACATCAGCCTGTACAGCATTTGCCTGTAAACAGTTTATCAAACACATAACAGTTTCATCGTAAACCCTACATAGGTCTATCGAAGGGAAGGGACCATCGCGCCAATGTGTTGCCATAGTTCATCAATATGAATCAAAAGGTCTCCAAGTAAAGCACTTTCATCCTGGGGTGGAATCGCTTGTTTGACCCCTCATTTGGTGAGCTCGCCATACTAAGGGCAAGGATATGCACAGGATACGCTCCCACTCTTGCCCGGTGTTTGCCCCTGGTGTCTTCGATGGAAACCACGCCCCATTGAACGCTACCCAAAGTGGGGAACATGGTATGCAGCCACTGTGGCCAGGCTTCGAGTGATTTACAGTCTCAGGGTTCGCCAAAAGTAGACTGCGACTCCATCGAGGACACCAGGCGCCGGATTGCCGGAACCCGCCGGCAATCAAAGGCTCGGATGGTGTTGACGGACCCTTTGGCGAGCTGATCCCAAAATATTCCCAAAGGGGTCCCCATCTTTTGCGTTCAAACAGGATGTACCGATTTTCCACCATGTCTTTAGTAGAGGGCAAGGATGTCCGTGTCACCCAGCGTTGAGCCTACGACCCTAAGGACCCGTGTGAGGGTCTGCCGGGGAATCAAACCTTGCCTCCAATATCTCTGGGGCTACCTTTCAGCAGGGAAAGCGGGACGGTGTTGAAAACGATGGAAGAGAACGGGGATGGAACCAGCCCCTAGAGCTAGTCGGTTGGTTTGGAAAGGACCGAAACAAGGGCCCGCCCAAGTGTCCCCGTTTTCCACCAGAAATGGCGCGGATAAGAGCCAACCCCTGCAAAGGCATGGGAGTTTCTTGGCCGGTAGTTTGATTGAAACCAAGAAATAATCATGTGATCTTGCCAGATTGATCTACCTGCCCTTCCCACAAGCCAGCCCAAAGCAAACCAACCATCGGGGATCCGTTTCAGAAGGCCCGACCAAGTTCCTTTTGAAGTTGAGCTTTCTTGAGCTTGGCTCTTTCTGAGGTTGGGTTTTAAACTTCCATTTGCTTAAGCCCCCTGGAAAAAACTAAAATATGTTTTTTCCAGTGGTGATCGATCCTTTTAAAACCAACAGGGGAAAATAACACATATTCTTAAACAAATGGAAGTAAATGACTGCAACCCATGCAATCACCCAACCCTCGGCTCCCCGCAGTGAGGATTGCCAGGCGCTCAGAGATCCAGTGGAACCGGCCTGAAAGCCGGACGGAACTGGAGCCATGGGGAAAACTGGGGGGAAAACTGGGTCAACGGTCAACCAATCTTTGTTCTTAGGGAATAAATCTACCTCTACCTTTTTACTTAAACCTTCAAACATGTATAAAATGGTTGAGATTTTGTCCGTGCAGTTGTTTTGCGCTTTCAGCTATCACCGTACACTATAGTATCATGTAAACCCTAGAGCAAAGTAAACGACGGTGATGCTTACACCTTCCCTTCTTCGGGACATTCCCTCTATCAATCCGTCAGATTGATCAGCCGACCGCCAGGTCGACTAATCCTCACAAGGAGGTTAGATAGACTAGAACTATTAACGCCATAATCACAAAATCACCCTCTAAATAGGAGGCGACACACAACACACCAACAAACACAAATTACACTCTAAATAAAATGCACCAACAAAAACAACAACCCCGAAGAAAACAGGGTCAACGTTCAACCCTGGGATTTAAGTATGTTCTTTGTTCATCAGTTTAGTCCGGGGCAAAGATGTCTCCGATGCCAAACTTCACAAGCCTTGGTATGGTTGCAAAAAAAACAAATATTTGCTTGCAGTACCCTACTAAAAGGAACCGAACCAACAAAAATACAAACAAAAGCACTTGCCACGAACAGTGAAGCAAACGGTGACCCTGAAAAAGAAAAAAGAAAACAAAAAACAAAAGGGGCGGAGGGTGTTTCAACGGCCAGGCCAGGCCTTCCTTGCGGTTGGGATTCATGAGCTCCGCCTCAGGTCACGGGGATTCGATTCGGCCCTTGGTGGCACTGGCTTCCCTTCAAAAAGCCATGGCAAAATCCCAGGAAAGACACAAACACACACACAGCTGTATACAAAGAGCCGTCATAGATGACCCTTTGGAAATATCGATGGGTTTGCTCGCATCTCAACCAGTTGAACCCATCTATTTGATACACGTTGCCTGGGTTGCTCCGAGGCCTGAACCAAAGGTTGGTCGCGCCTTCTAAAAGTATAGATTGCTTCCAATAGGTCCCGGGGCCCTTTAGTCACACCAAAGACCGGCCGTGTTTCTGGGTGATTGTTCAATAACAATCGGATTTCTGGGACCTGACACGCGGCATTGCCAAATTCGAGAAGCTCAGCTATCACAGTGGGCAACTGTCACTTTTGGACACCGCATTGCATCATGTCTGCAATTAGCAGCCGGCTGTTCATCCCAAGTGCTCCGGAACATGGTTCCAGAAAAGGGAAACTCGAACAAGCCACGCACACAAGTTCTACCCGTGTCCTAATTCAGTGACCCCTTGGGTTCGATCACAAACGGAGGCGCTACGCGCGCGTCGCCCTTCGGGGAGAAAAAGCCGGCTCGGAGCTGCTTTCTGACGTCAAGGAAACCCAAATCAACCCGAAAACCTCAATCCACCATCGAATGCACTCATGAGCCCAAGATGAATAGACCCAACTCACGCGAATAAATGAAACACACATAGATGCAATCAATTCATGGGCCATGGAAACAAAACACACTTGTTGCCTCTTTGCGCCTTTGTCTCAACATGAGGGACCCACAAAAGTGGCATAGTTTTAGCCTTCCTCGAAAACGACCTAAAAAAGACGCCTCAAACGATCCTTGGCTTCCCTGTTTTGTTGTGGAAACCCCTTCGGCAAAGCCGCATATCACACACACACACACACAAACACACACACACACACACACCCACACACCCACCCACCCACCCACCCACCCACCCACCCACCCACCCACCCACCCACCCACCCACCCACGCACGCACGCACGCACGCACGCACGCACGCACGCACGCACGCACGCACGCACGCACGCACGCACGCACGCACAACCGCACGCACGCACGCACGCACGCACGCACGCACGCACGCACGCACGCACGCACGCACGCACGCACGCACGCACGCACGCACGCACGCACGCACGCACGCACGCACGCGCACGCACGCACGCACGCACGCACGCACGCACGCACGCACGCACGCACGCACGCACGCACGCACGCACGCACGCACACGCACGCACGCACGCACGCACGCACGCACGCACGCACGCACGCACGCACGCACGCACGCACGCACGCACGCACGCACGCACGCACGCACGCACGCACACGCACGCACGCACGCACGCACGCACGCACGCGCACGCACGCACGCACGCACGCACGCACACACACACACACACGCACACACACACGCACACGCACACGCACACGCACACGCACACGCACACGCACACGCACACGCACACGCACACGCACACGCACACGCACACGCACACGCACACGCACACGCACACGCACACACGCGCGCGCGCGCACGCACGCACGCACCCACACACACACACAACACACACACACACACATGTGAGTCGCAACACAAAAAAGGCCCCCGGAACCTTCTTTAAGCTAAAGATCAATGAACCTTGAAACATAAACTATCAAAATAGAGCCCGAGTAGAGGGAGTTAGAAGGGCGGTCGCTTGGATTTCCAACCTGCGCACCCTACATCATGGTCAAACTGAGCCCCTGCGAGTGAGCAACCTCTGCTGATTGGCGCTACGTGTTCGTCGTGTTCAAAATGCTTTGGCAAACATCGAACCCAGGCTCCGGTCAGTTTTGGCTCAGTTCGAAGTTTTTTTGCGTGGGTTTAGAGAATCAGGCGCAAGCTCCCATAGAGCTCAGAGAGGAAGGGTGCTTCAGTGAGTCAAGCTCCAAACCTGGTCTTGGAATGGCCCCAAACCCACGGAGCTCGTCTTAAAATGGCCATTAACACACAGATCCGCACCAAAGGGACTGTCCCTCAGCTTCTGGGCCCACTTCTGGGGCACAGAAAAACCGATTGGTGGAGTCTGTTTCATATCTACCACCGAAAATCTAGAATAGCTTTGGAGAGCCCAGATTTGCAGCGTTGTATGTGGTTGTCAGAAACAGGCCAGCTGTTGAGCCCTTGGTGACATGTTATGCCTTTGAACGGGATCCAAAGCCCAGACTCAGCGGCCGCGGGAAGAAAAGGCCACCCCGCTTTTGGAAGTAGCTGACTTGAAAGGGAAAGCGCCGCCCAAAAACCAAGAATCTACCCACCCACCCACCCACCCACCCACCCACCCATCCACTCACCCACCCACCCACCCACCCACCCACCCACCCACCCACCCACCCACCCACCCACTCAACCCACCCACTCAACCCACCCACCCAACGCACCCACCCATCAGCTCACTCTCTGAGGCTGGCTCGTTGAAGCGGAAAAGGCCATCGAAGTCGTGGTAGTTGTACTGAATGTGAAACCTCGAGCATATCCCTTAAACCATACATCTGGGCCTCCAAAACTACTTGTAGGTTTCTAGGATTCCCGTGAAAAAGCAAGTGACTTTTGGATGTATCCATCCGCCGGACTATACGCCAGATATGGGAGAGGGGCGGTTTCTTTGGGTTTTCGGTCCGAGCGGACTCCCAAAGTAACCAGAGACGACACCAGGCATTTTGTCCGTTCGCATTGCTGTGATGGTCAAGTGCAAAGCTCATGAACTCAGGGACTGAGGTGATCAGATCCGGTCGATTCGGGCTTTTGTGAGATTGCTGGAATTCCAGGCAGGACCCCCCCCCCAGATTCCAGTTTCCAGGGGATGTACATAACTTGCCCCAAAGGTTGGTGTTGGCCAAAGATGTTTGAAGTAGGCTACGTGTCAAACCAGCGATTTTGGCTGAACCGCCGGGAAAAATGAAGAAGGAATCCACATGCGGGTGTTGTGTTCTTTAAAGAAGGGGGGGTGCAACCCGAATCAAAGCGCACTTCCCCTGCTCGCCCTTCAGGGTCAACCTTGTGCGCAGGGTCTTGAGCATGAAGCGGTTCTTTAGTACCCAGTCAAGTGCCAGTCGTTGAGTCGTTCATTTAGGGTGCGCTGCCCGAATCCGCTGCCTAGTGCGGTAAGGAGACTGTATCGGCAATGGAAACCGAAGAGTAATCAACTGGTTGAGTACTCGGAAATTGTCCCATTGCGGAAATCCTTCACTCTTCAAGGACACGTTTTCCCTATTCTGCCAGATTGACTAAGCTGGATATGAAAAGATACTTTGCCACGTGAAATTGGGAGCAGTTACGCAGGCTAAAGTGAATAAGCCAAAAGCCCAGATTCCCTGTGCACCGCGACCGGCGGGCCAGCCCGAGGATCCGGGCTGATCCTGAGAATCGAGGCCATAGGTCTCGAAGGTCACGGCGTGCCGTTTGGTGTGGTCGTAGACGTTGATGAGGAAGGTCTGAACCGGGGTGGCGTCCCAGGGTGGGGACGGTGGAGACGGGGCGAAATGTTGCAGCCAACCCTAAAATCCTCAAACACCAAGGCCTGAATTGAAAACAACTACTCGGGTTCACCAAAGGGGGCGGTCATGGGGTGTGGCGCAAGCGAAAAAGACGGGCGACAGCGAAAGATGGCTTTACTCTTCCGGTGATTAACGGTGTCACTCCAAGAATACATATATATATATATATATATTTATTTATTTATTTAGTTCGTTATTCATACACAAATATTTCTATGCCGCAGTCATGACCGCTTCGCACCCCAAAAAAAACGCGCAAGGTTTGAGATGGTGGCTTTTGTGTCTCATGCCACTGACATGGAATCTGACTGGGCTGGGGCCTGGAAGACCATGTTCCTCAGTCCCAAGTAGATGCCACGAGTGGCTGGTCAATTGCTTGGGTGTTCGGCCGCTGATTAGTCCCCTTCGTGGGGTTAACCCTGTTGTTAGTAGGCTCTAACCCAAGTGGCTAACCATTTGCGGACTGGTCAAACACCCAGGTAACGAAAAGAAGTACAAGGTAGTCAGTACTTGTCTCACTTCCTGACCAAACATGTCTAAACTTGTTTGATCTACCACTATGCAAGTTGTTCTCGACAAGTATACACCTCTACAGATGTGCATGGAACCCCGAAAAAAACTAGAGACAGCTGCCCTTGTTCGATGCCTTCGTGGGGTTCTATGTTGATTTGCAGAGCGGTTTATGGAAGACATATGTGCACGGAGGCTTCTTGCATCTCACAGCTAAACCAAGCTTTCCCAGAAACCAATGCAGAACGTCCCTTGCGGCTTGCTGAACAAGATAAGTTGCTTTCAAGCGATATCTCACAGCAAAATTGTCGAAACAAACAACAACATCGGACAAACCGCCAGTTACTTTGGTTCGTGTCACCGTTTTGGTTCCGTCAGAAACATATTGCGAACAACCTATGGCATGGCAGCAATAACTACCTGCAGTAGGACGTTATAAGGACTGAAAGTGAGGCACAAGGATAATCAGAAGGGCGTCTGTCCGCACCCAAACATACAAAACATGCGCAATGCAAAGCATAGTACGGCATCGCGTGGGAAATGGTTGCCACAGCTACCTGAAACAGGCAGAACAAACAAATGAAAGCGGCTTTGTGCTTCCCAACTCACCAAATCAAATATCCACTCTCCCCCTCGAACGCATGCGCCTCTCCATTGAAGACCTTGCTCTCTTGGTAAACCAAGGGCCCTTTGTCCTGCACGCAGATAGCATCCACCTCTCCACTCCCTTCAAATGCCCCCACCCCCCTCGCCAATTGCAGCTTAGAAGGTTCTTAGCCCTATACTTGGGAGTGTCTTCTTTTGAGGGTTCCCTTTTGTTGTGGTGTTACATGGAAACCGAAATGAAACCAGTGGCGCCATGTTGGGGGTCCCATTCCTACCAAAAGCCACACTCTACCAGGTTCTTGTCGTTGGAATCCCACATCCAGGCCCGTTCGGGGAGGCTCGCTCCGCACTGGTCCTTCCCTTGAAAAAACCCAGACGTCCCAACTTATCCTTCGAGTCGATGGCCTTGCTAGGGTCAAAATTCTCGGAGTACCTCCTTGGCAGGTAGCCTTGCGGAACCCCGTGCCGGGGGATAACAACAGCTACCACACATTGCCATCTTCTTGCTGAGTAGCGGAAACTTCCATCACGTGCAGTCAAAGATGAGTCCGGCCAGAAAAAAACAAATGCCCGGCACTGAGCAGGGTGGCCTGTACTCTAAGTCACTATTCCCCTGTACCCTTCTCTAATCAAGGGCACCCTTGATTCGATCA